TCATTTGTGTTCCTCACTTATTGTTGACTATCAGCCTTAGGGGGTCTCCCTTCTGTAACTTCGGCTACTCAGTAAATTTATTCATTTATTGATCTCCCCGTTCCTATGCATATCTATCAGCATATCTCGCAGGCTTGCATTTATTTTCGTAGTTGGGTCTTTCTTTACTATAAGATAAGTAGTCCCCGAAACCATCCTTGAATTAATTGTCTAGTCTAGAATAGACAAGTGAAGGTAGTTAGAGCGAATGTCTATTAGTGTTCCATCAAAATTCCAGAATTATGGGTAAAAGCTTTTTTTGGAGAAATATACAGAATCGTAGTTCTGGAAGGCGAGAGGGTAGGAAATAGATAGAGAAGCTAGGTCAGAAAGAGAAGTTATAGCACATGTGCTTGGCAGAAAATTGGTTAAGTGATTGATTTTACTTGTCTCTTCGACGAGTTGTAGTGTGATGCTAAGAATGGCAAGGCTCGCTGGCGATGCTGGAGAAACTTCTGGGAACGTATCAAGTCCACAGTCCGACTGGAAATTATAATGCTTACTATGGACTCCCGACTAGATTCGTTTTTTTACGTCTCCTTGCCAATATAATCAAGTCGCTAAAGCAAGGTTAAACAGCTCCATAAGTTTTTCGTTCTTAACTAGTTTTCCCAGACTACCAGTAAATCAGTTATATGAAATTTAGTCAGCCTTATTTCATTTAAAGTGATGAAGGACTAGTGGTTTAATTTTCGCTCAGTGATATGAGTGGAGTTGACGTCTATTGAATTTCATATAGCCTTTCTTTCTCAAAATGTGTTCTCATACACCTTTAATCATGTTTTAATGTGCCTATTTGACTTCCATATTGTAACATCTTGCAAGGCAAAATTTATTCCTTTATTTTCTTTAAGGTTGAATACATTTTATGCTCTCAGGCATGCCTCTTCATTTAGATTCATCACCACTAGCTCATTAGCTTATGTATTTAACAAATCCCCTTATCCGAATTTGTTTATTTTAATTTGGCCTTGCTTCAGTGTATCTCAATAAGCTACTGCTTTGAACTGCCTGATCATTATCCCCGCAATTTTAGGAAAATTTCACTTTACCCACTAAGATCTACTCAGTTTTCAATCATCATATTAAATGAGCCTTTTCCTCACACCTATTAACAGGTTATGGAGGAGATCTGTCACAAAATTCTTGATCTGTATCCTGCGGACGATGGGCCGCAACCGGCCACATCTAATCCAGGCTTGGATAGTGCCCCGCATGTGAGTGGAGCAAGCACATTGCCAACCACTGTAACTGATACTCCCAGTGGACATATGCACCAATCTTTTGCCTCTCGATCACTAGGTTCTCACACTCGTCAAGCCTCATCCCAACCTTCCATGAATCCAGTTTTATTGCGATCTTCTGGGTTAGTGAGTGATGAGTCATGGGGTAAACGCCCTCGTTTGAACTTGGCTGATCCCACATCTGGCTTCAATGATCTTCATCCTGGAAATAGCTCATCTGGCCCCATTAATACAGGCATGCTTTTTCGTGCTTTTAATTGCCTTTATCCATGTTTGTCGCAGTTTATGTCGTATACTTTGCTATAAATACAATGAGACAAAAACTTTTAAAACTCTTATATTAACCTAATCTTTTCGTTGAAAAAGGGACTCGTGTTTGAGGCTATTTTTTCGTGATATTTAGTTTAGGTCATGACTTCCTATTTAATCAGGTTTTTACGTGCATATCTTTGGCTGATGCACTTTGCAATACTACAGCATCCCATTAACATTAGAGTTTCCTTAGGCATAAGCGCCTAGCTACCATACATTATTATCTCTTCTTGTATCATTTGATATAGTTATATGAAGCTGTTAATGGTAATTCCTATCTACTACTATTTTAAAAGTCTCTTTCGTTGCCTCCGCGATTTAGGTATGCATTCCTCCAGCTCCACAGCTTCCCTGACTTCTTCAGGAAAATCATTTTCTCAGACAAATTCAGCCTCTGCTCAATCTCATTTACACCATCCACCACCACCTCCACTACCCTGCCACTTTTCAATAGTGACAAGCGGTGCGACAGCCCGCTCTCATGCCGCTGGGCTAGAATCCTCTAACTCCATATCCTCTGCTTCTAGCTGCCCGACTGGCACTGGTATTTCCCTCAATACAAATACGATTGGTTTTCCACAACGAGGACCTTCCCATTTGAACGTATCTAGCAAAGCAGGTTGTACCCTGGTCGTCACAGCTCCGACAACTGGCTCATCTACTTGTTCCGGACCCATAATTTCAACCACTTCGACATCTCTTTTATATTTGGCCACCACCCAATCTGGCCCAGGAGTGACAATTGCACCGTCACTGGCCTTACCTACATTTGGTGGATTGGCACTGCCACCACAATCTCGAATTCCTCATTCTACTGGATTAGGGCTTCTTCCACCTGGTTCAGCTGTTTCAGGCCTGGTATAGCTTTCTTTAGAATAAAGGTTGTATTTTTATTTCTGTCATTAAGACAGACTTGGAATGCATGTTGCCCTGGAATTTTCATTTTATTTATGGACTTTAATATTTATTATAGCGTAAATAATGAAGCATGCCAGATTCTATTCTAGTTGATAGGAATTAGTTTAGAGGCACTTTTTCTGGTTTTATATTTTTCGTGTTAATTTTATTTGTTTTAGGGCGCTTGACGCCATTTTTCTATCTTCTCGTCGTCGATCTCCAAGTCGTTCCGCTCAATATAACTTTTTGAGATTGAATCGCTTCTTTCATATGTTGGATTGTAGCAAGGTTTCTCCATTTCAAAGGAAATAGACAAACCATTTATCTTTGAGTGCTGCAAATTTATATTTGTAGGGAAGGTATGGGATATATTGTCACTGCCTGTTTCATAACGTTCGAAATCTAAGGCATTAACAATTGCAAGGTTAGATGAATTTATAGTGTTGGTTCGACCTAGTTTTCGCAACTTGGTCGGAGCATCAGCGAGACCTTGTGGAGCATACTTAGTCCCGTGACTTGTGTCATAGTATTCTCGATTTCCAGCATTGGGCTATTGGCTGAGTACATTTACAAACGTTTCGCCGACATCATACTCAGCATCGTCATTAAGATGTGCCATCGTGAGCAGAGAGCTATAACTTATTAAAGTGACAAGTGAAGGCAATCCCCTTGACCAATTTCCTGTTAAACTGTTGTGACATCACTCCTCGCCCCTATTTTTTCTTCTACCTTGTAGGGCCAAATCTCTTTCTCTCAACCTTATTTCATATGAAAGTTGTTTGACCTTGTTTTCGAAACTTGGTCATATTAGGAAGAAGACATAGAGGAACGCAATTGGTCCGGAGTCCATTGTATGCATAATCATTTCCAAAGTCGGACATTCCCAGGGGTTTCGCCAGCATCGTAATCGGCATCGTCAGTGAGTATAGCCATTCTTAGCACGATACAACAACTCGTAAAAGAGACAAGTAAGCCTATCCTTTGACCAGACGTGTGCTAAACAGTTGTGGTATCTCCCCTTCTGCCTTGGGCTATTCACATTTCCTATATCCTCCTATCAAGCCTTCATTGTCACAATTTTTTACCGTGCCTATTTAGATGTAGTTTGGTGTGCTAATTTGAGCGGCATTCATGAAAACCCTTAACACTTCAAGCTGTCGTTCACACCCCAGTCACCCTCGTGCTGGGAAATTTGATCAGAGTCTGCCATATTGTTTCGCAGTCCTCATTCCCCAGGCCTTATCACAGTCTCTCTTGCCTAGTATGATCCCTCTGCCCTCTCCTTAGTTCACATATTTCACTCGACCCCTGCCACCCCATCTGTGCCACTCGAGGCGTTATTGGCCCTACCCTACGTCTGAGTGACAAATTCGAGGCTCAAGCCTCTGAGTAAGTGTCATGGTCACGCTTTTGCCACATAGACCACGTCTTATAAAAACTACTATCAGCCCACTAGCTTCCATCGCCGCCGCGTCTATCCTGTTTCTATCTCTAATACCAAGTCTATGATTTCCTATCCCTTAGTCTCTTGTGTGCCAACCCGCAAATGTTGTGGTACTGCTTGCTTTCGTTAGGTTCAATGCTAGACCACGTTTGTGGTTTGGCATACAAGGAGGAGACTATACAGAAAGAATTGTATGCGGGAATAATCCTTAATTTTCAGTTTCATCATAGCTACAGACTGAATATGTGAATATTGAGGAGTTTGATCATCAGAAGTTTACGACAATGAGTTCTAGGACGAGGAGTTGGACAAACTGACACGGATTTGCCTTAGTAATGGATATCCCAGATCATTTATAGAAAAAAATGTAGAGGTTATAAAGAACCGATTTCAACTTGTATTTTATGAAAATCAGATGAGTAATCAGAATGCGACCAGAAATGGATTTGCCTTCCCTCATCAGAACTGAGCCAACAATTGTGACCATTATTAAGGAAATAGAATATAAGGGTGATAACAAAGGAGAAAAAAACACTTCACAAGTCTGCCGACGCAAAACGATAAGACGGACAAACTTGATTGCTCGGGAGTTTATCACATTAAATGCGGAAACTGTGAGAAGAAGTATATTGGTGAAACGGGAAGAAAAATCGGTCTACGGATCAAGTAACATCAAAGACTCTGCAGGAAGATGGATACAAAAAGATCAGAAATAGTGGAACACATTGCACGAACGGGGCATGAGATCGACAGAAAGGTTGGCTGCATGTGGTGAAAATACGAGAAAACGCAAAATCCGAGAGGTCATCGAAATAATGACTGAGAGAAATTTAATGAACAGGAGACTTGAAGAAGACAGGATCAGCGAAAACTTTGCATATTGCCTAAACAAACTAGGAGAAGACCAGGCAACAGGAAGATCAGTAAAAAGAAGACGACTGTAACAAGGTAATATTCTTAATTTTAGGAAAAGAGATGGCAAGGGGATGAGAAAGGGACAATCAGAAGCAGAGAGACGTCTTCAATGAGCCTAATCAAAACAAGTAGAACCACAATATTTGTGGGTTGGCGCACAATAGACTAGGACGTAGGAAGTGATGGACGTGGTATTACAAATAGAAATATGAAAGACGCAGTGGAGACTAAAGCTATTTGGCTAAAATAGTCGTGTTTGATCATAGAAGTGATCCTTGAATCACGACTTTTGTTAGCCAACTAGCTCTAGCTTTCACTGTTTTTATCTTCTTTCTATCTATGATACCAAGTCTATAACTTCCCATGCCCTAGTCTCTTGTGTACCAACCCGCAGACGTGGTTCAACATTGAACCTAACTAAAGCAAGCAGTACTACAACGTTTGTGGGTTGGCACATAAGAGACTATGGCATGGGAAGTCATAGACTTGGTATTAGAGATAGAAACAGGATAGATTCGGCGGCGATGGA